TATTTATGAACAAATCAATTGATGAATTTTTAGGGTTTGTTTGGTTAGAGGGGAGATTTTAAAAATTTTTTCCTTCCCTCCAACATCTCTCTTTCAAATTGAAGGGATCCCCTTTCCCTCCAACTAAACAAAGTCTTAATTATGCATAAATAAACTTTCAATTATTTAAGGCTCTTATTATTTTTTTCTCTTCTAGGAACTCTCACGGACATTCTTCCTTTTATTTAAGTTTATTATGTATAAATAAGTTTCTGTTTTTAGGTTTGGGGGCAATTGAAAGTTTTAGGAGATATAATTTTTAAGTTTTTCCTTATCTAGTGGGGGCAAATGCCCCCACTATGATGCATGCAGCAGTTTAAAAGTATGATTGGTTTGACAAAAAATTCTGATGGAATCTTGGCATAATTTTCTTTCCTCGTTTGTATGAATAATCGAGTATATGGAAAAGGGAAGCAACAACATAAAAAAACCCTTGAGGAAAAAAAAAAAAACCTTCCCAGATAATTCAACGGCATTGAGGAGAATACATTTTTTCCCCTAATAAAAGAGTCAATTTTATTAATTATAAAAAAGAAAGTATAAATACCAATAACCGGAGTAAAAGAAAACTTGAAAAAAATCTAGAAATACAACCTAACACACCAAGAAAATCACTTAAAAAAAGAACGACAAGGAAACACAAACAAACCAACAAAGTGATTACATCAATCCTTAACTAGATACGAGAATGGAGTAGAATTCCTTATTCGTGCCCTACATTAAGTTTCCTCACAGGACGTATTTGTACTCAAATTTTCGCAACCGAAGTCAGGAGACCACAAACACATACTGACCCAAAAGATTATTTCTTATTGGAGCCACACATGGTCTTGCTCCCGCAGGACCTACGTATTGCGCAAGTGCATACAATTTGAGCCCAGTTTTGATCATGATGACTTCAGGAGGGTACTTAAAAAAAAAATTGAAAAATGTTAATTAAGGGTCGTTAGAAAAAAATTTATATTAATTAAATATCACTTGTTATTAAAAGAGAAACGAACCTCAATGTGCTAGTTGCCATGTACGTCACAGACATACTCTAAGCTTGGGACACAGTGCTTTCAAGAGTCATGTAAAAATTACATAACATTATCGGCTTTAATTAGGATCTTGAAAATTTTCAGTGAGATCCGATGCCTTTAATTAGGGTGGAGATACATTTTTACCTCTCAAATATTTTCTAAAGAGAATTCAGCACCCTAAAATATTGATAGGAATATTTTTACCTTTAAAGTAATTAAAATGAAAAAAATTTACTCATGCCATCAAATTTTCAATGTGATTGTTAAAAAAAATATTAAGTGAGACTCCAATATTGACTGTTAAAAAATTTAATGAATAAAAATATTCTGTTTTAAGGCACTTTTACAAATATAATACATGTCATAGAATCAAACTAAGCAAACAATTCAATATTTATTATATTTTATATTATGACTTGTTTATTGTATTTGTCAGTATATCAATGATAAACTCTTGTAAATTTTTAATATTTTAATAATAAACTTCTTATATATAAACCTTTTATATATCAATGTAAATAGCCATATTCTTATATTTTTTGAGCACGAGATTTCTTTTGCCAGCTAGCCAATTTATCTCTATTTTAATTACTTAAAGACAATTATTTTGACTAATAATTTAGGTTGATGGATGCTTTTCAAATTATACTTTAAAAATAAAAATGCAACTCTACCCTTCTAATTACTTTGTGCCAAATCCATGCTCCCCGTTGGCTATACCCTAATCTTGAATACTGTATCCTCCACAGCATGTTCTTTTTAATATAGTACACATCTTTTCATTACTTTATATATATATATATATATATATATATCATGAATATAATAGATGTCTTAATCACCTAATTAAAAAAAGTATTTTTAGTATATAAATCTAATCCTTTTAATTTAATAATATTAAGTATATTGATGTTATCAAGTAAATGGCATAAGAATATAATTTTTCCTATTTTTAGATTGTCAAATGTATGAGTGGAATTTTCAAAATTTTGGATATAAAAATCATTATATGTATAATATATTTTCAAAATGTTTTAAGACAATATGCAGATATCTTCTACTATATGCGACTCACGACATGCAACACCCTTTAAGGAAATGCAAATTAATTTTCATTTATTCGAATGTGCATTTTAGATATCTTAAAAATTTACACCTTGATTGACATATTGACATCGAAGAATCTTGTTTGACATATTAATATCAAAGGACCTTGTTTTATATATTGTCACCAAATTATTAACAACAAAGGACCTTATGACATTGATAGCGAAAGATCTTGTGCAACATATTGATAGCGAGGGACCTTGCTCAACTTTTTTAATCATAAGGGCAATTTGATCATTTGAAGTTCCAAATTAATGCTAGTGAAGGATCTCAATTTGGAATCTCTTCCAAATCCTTCTTGGCAAAGTTAAATTTGGTCCAATCTTTTTAAACAATTTTTCCTAAAATTAAAGTCAGTGATTTTAATTTGATTTCTGTTTGAATATATATTTTTTTCTAAAAATCTAACGAATTGAAACTTATTTTGGCGATAAAATTTAAAAGTAAATTTAAATGTATAATGATCAAAAAGACATGAATTTCATAATAAATATTTCTTTTCTAAGTTGATCGATCTTGTTAAGAAAAATTGTTAAACTTTAAATTAAAGTTTAAAAAATAAAAATAATTCATATATAAGTATTATTTGTAAATTATAAAAATCTAAAATAAAATTTGAAAAATTAAATCATGAAAAACGATAAATTTGAAAAAGCTAAAATAAATTGATAAGATTTAAAAACTGTTTTGCGATGTTTGTGAGGAGGACGACAGGGAAATAGCTCAAAAAATAAGTGGTGTGAACTCGAAGTTCAGGTTTTGACGGGAAGTGGTTTCCGGAATTTGAATTGAAGCTACCAGGAAATTAAATCCTGGCTGCTCATACTAATTTTGCCATCCACGTCAGAATCCAGTCCTGTTTAAACTTTAAACAATTCGTTTTTAACTTTTTTTCCCTCGAGAAAGATTCATAGTTTGATGCTCGTACATTTTTATTTTTTACAATTGCATCTCAATTCTCAACAGTAAATTCATTCATCATTGAAGATCCTTTCGACAACATTTGCGGCCTGTAGGCTCCAGGCCCCATATCTCTCAGAAGCTACTGGACCTATTGGCCCATTTTACTCGGCCCAGCTGTGACGTTGACAATGATGTGAAAATAAGCAACAACGAATGATGTTCAGGGGGTTCCATCACAGGTTTTGCCATGGCGTGGCGGAGAATCGAGGATCTCTGAGACATCCAAAGAAAATGTGAAGACAATATTATAAAGTTGACTAAAAACAATCGACTCTCGCTGACCAAGAAAATTCATGGAACTTTCCTCAATATGCTTCAAATCAAGCAATGGATTGTCAAGAAAATTAAGACTGAATATTCATTGGTGAAAATGACACAACGTTACAAAGAAATCTTTCACTTGAAGGATTGTAAAACCAATACCAAATTATGGGATTCAACATTGAACTCCAAACTTTGAGGTGAGACAATGAGATGAGGACCAAATTGATTTTCCTATTTTCTAATCCAAAGTTATGCCTTTCATATACACATTTGGGTCATTAACCATCAAGTGATTAACACCTAATCACCCTCTAATATTCCAAAAACATCTCCAGTAAATGGTCTTCGAAAATAATGAAAAAAAAATATTATATATACATACATGCGTGTCGAAAGTCGAAACTGAGACTCCCAACACCTCCCCAAGCTGATGAGGCAATGATTTATTATTATCCCCACAGCAAGTCACTGAGTTAATATGTCCATAAATAGTTTCGTTGAATTTGTACGTGAAGCTTTTTTTCTCCCTGCCACATGTTTGGTTGGTGGGGAAAGGGACGGAGATTCTAATAAATTCAATTTCTAAATACTTTCGTTGACTGCACACTTGAATACTCTGAGTTCTAATTAGCTTTGGCATTCTGAAAAAATTGTGGTAAATGGGCACGACATTACGAACCATTTTTGCTGACAACTTTTTAGTGCGAACAAACTATTTTTACTTTTGTGGTTTTCATGAATAAAAAATTTTTTGAAAATAGAAAATCAATCAAGCCTAAACCGTCCACGCATGCTCCCATATATTATTCAATTCAATATAACTAACAAAGATATTGGTTGAATTGGTAAGGATTTGCTCCATGATCCATAAAGTTGTGGGTTCAAACTAATTCCTATTAATTGTTGATGTTAAGACCTTGTTAATGGATGATTTTTAGGTAGATCCGTTAGCATTCTTTGAACCTAGAGACATGCATTGGTTCTACAGTCTTGGTAATTCGCCATGAGCTAACTTGTAAACTTTTGTATACTAAAAAAAAATTAGTATAGGTTTTGACTTTTCTTTTGATGTCTAAGTCACTGTTTAATTTGTTGGAAGCATTTTTTATATAAATAGAACTGAAAAAGAAAAAAGGTCAGGAAATTGAATTGGAAATGTAAAAGGAAATAAGTTTAAAAATATGCTTAGTCTGACAGTAAATTCTAACAGAATCTTAACATAATATTTGTTTGGTGCGTATGAGTTGAGGATGCACTATGGAAACGGAAGAAAAATCATAAAAAGACCCTAATGCCCTTGGGGGAAAAAGGCTTTCTAAGATTCAACGACATGGTGAAGAACACATTAACTTGATGACTAGATTGATACTTAACCCTATACAAGTATCAAGTATAATTCCACATTCAAGCTAGCCTAACATTAATATTATCCCTCTCTCATATCATATTTGTACTCAACATTTCACAACCAAAAAGAAGAATACGGAGTCTGTCGTTAATAATAATAGTCTCACATAGTAGGGTTTGAATTAGTTTAAGTAAGAGATGGTAATACCCTGCCAAGTTTCTCAAGATACTGAGCTGGAATCAAAAAATGAGGAGAAATCACAAACACATATATATTAACCCAAAAGATTGTTCAACCTAATCCTTGAAAAAAGTATAGCCGTACATGGTCTTGCTCCGGCAGGTCCCCGTGCAAGTAGTGCATACAATTTGAACTTCAGACTACTAAAAAAAATAAAAATAAAACATGCAAGTTACGTCGTAGCTCCCTATGTTTTAATTTCCCAATGCTTGTTGTTGAAATCCCCCAATGGAACTTGAAATGGGGCTATTGTAGTCCAGAAACTGATAAGATTCTAAATTGTTGAGTTTGTTGTGTGATTCTGATTCATACGCTTTCGTTTCGGTATGCCTCCCTTCCTTCATATGAGGATCCTGTCAATGTAATGCAACTCATCATCATGATCATGAATCACCCAAAAACTTTCCTTCACAATCCTCAGGATGATGAAATTATATATTAAGGTATTGGATGGGTGAATTTGTGTTTTAAAATAAATTTCACTTTTAAAACTCTTGTTTGGCTGGTATAAAAATTTCAAATTCAAAAACATAGAAAATATGAAAATGGAAAGAGTACAAGAGCATTATATTAACTTATAATATTTCAAAACTAGGATATACTATACAAAATTTGAAATTATAATAAAACATGAATTTATTAAATCCAAGTTCTTAAAATTTTATGGATCCAAATAGTAGATTCAACTTAAATGTAAGCCTAACTTTAAATCCCCTAGATGCAAACCCAACATAATTGGAATAAACAGTGACTTGAAACACCAAGACTCACGCAACAACATAGATCAGACATAATTATTAGTAATATCCAATGAGAAAAAAAAACAAAAACATCACCATTTGCAAGGCCTCGATCGGTCTATTGAGCACAATATTATGTCAATGACAAGTATGCTTAATTAGAAAAATGAGGAATATCATATACTTAATTACATTCAACGAACATATAGATTATATATAGAAGTGTATACTTGGAAAAAAAAATTAAAGTTTAGAGCTGCTGTTTATTTGGACTAGAAGTTGAACAAAATATAATTATATATATTTACCTCATCAAAATAACGTGCGGGCTTATAAAACGAATATTCATTCTCATTCATCTCTAAGCCATCACTTGCTGCGTCAATCATCGTTTCCAAGCGAGCTTGCAGATGACGGCTATGGAACCTTAAGAGCTTATTTTCTAGCTCCACTATCTTCTTCTGGCACTCCCACTTCTTAACAACGTTCCAAGATCCTATCTTTAAGCCATTTCGAACAAGCTCCTCACCCTCTTCCATCAATCGTCTCAGTCTTTCACCATTTTGACTTCCTTGATTAATCTCCTCTAACACAGGAGCAAGTGATTTCATGGTAGATCTCAGTTTTTTTATCGTCGTTTTCAGCTCACCGGCGTCCTTTATGATCATCGCCAAACCAGTGTCAGTTTCAAGCAGAAATAAGACGAGTTTGCAGATGAGCAAAGCGAAGCAGAAAATGCCTTCCACTATTCCAGTCCCGGTAACATTAAAGATAAAATAAATGTAAATGACGAAGAAGAGGAGCATAGGTATGTCAAGTCTCGGAACTCCAGCATAAGGTGGGGGGGCTACCATGGCAGCTCGGGGACGAGGTCTGCGATATATTGGTTCTCCTGAAACACAACCACCCTCACCACCACAAGCGGAGGATTTACTAGGGGAAGGTCTTTGACTTTGAATCTGATCGGAGAGTTTGTCGACTTTCAAGTGTAGAAGCTGGATCTCCCGAAATGTGTTCAACGAAGTGTGTTTATTGTTGAAGCTGATGATGTCGTTGTCGAGCTCCACAAGCTTCTTGTGGTAATATATCTTCTTGATGAAGTCTCGTCGTCGCAAGAGAAGACACTTGGAAACCAGATTCGCGCCCTTTTCCATCACTGACTTTAATCGATCTACATCACGCTGATCTGATCGCTTCAGCTGTGCGTTCAAGTTTTGTATATCTTTGACCATTGGATCTAGACGTTGGAGAGTATCGTCCAGGTCCTGTAATTTGTTTTTGAAGTCTTTGAGACGGTTCTTGGCATCCTTCACTGTACTCCATAACCCTGAAAACACCGTTCCTAGAGCAGCACCACTAACCAGCTCGCCTACTCCTCCCATGTCTTCCTGCGCCGTCGTCGACCAAAACTCAGTTACCTCATCCTGGTTTGTTTGTGTGAGAAAGAGAGAGAGAGAGAGAGAGAGAGAGAGAGAGAGAGGAAACAAGTTGTAATTCAAGAACGACGCTCAACTGAACTCCTTTCTCAGTCACTTGCTCTCGGAATAATAATAATTAATCAGTGCGGTGACGTCAATAGACGTTAATTTCAGTAGAAGGAAATGAACTCCTAAATATGAGATATCCAAGTTTTAGTATGTATGAAGGCAGATAAAGTCTCTTAAAAAAAAAAAAACTTACTTTTTTAGGAGAGATCGAGTTCTATTGAAAGAAAAAACAATATATATATATATATATATAAACAAGTTCGACTTCCGTGATCATCTCGCAATACTTATCAGGTTCAAATTACATATTTTATGAAATACTATAATAAACAGTGCAACAGTTTGCAGGGATCGAGGCATGTATTTATATTAACTCAAGTTGCATGAAGTTTCGCAGTTAGGGAGAGTCAAGTGTGATTTTTTATAACTTCTAATGCACTCTCAGCAAATTCTAAAAAGAATTTCAATATTTTAGGTTTTAAGAAGATTCTCCACACACGTAAAATCACTCTTTTTAAAAAAAAATGTAGAGACAAAATTAGAGAGAACAAGTTCTATTAAAAGAAAGAACAATATATATAAACTAAACAAGTTCAATCGTGCTCATCATCCTATACTTATAAAGATGATAAGATTTGATTCAAATTAAATATTTTATAAAATACTTATAGTGAATAGTGCCTCGGTTTGCAAGGATAGAGGGTAGTCTCAGTTTTTCAGGTATGTATTTACAATATTTTATCAGGATTTTCGAGGACCACTTATGGAGATGCATGCGTGGAATTAGAATAGTGTGGGAGAGCCAATGGCCTTGTACATTGACGAAAGTTGCGTGAAGTTTCGCAGTCAACGAGAGTCAAAGTGCTGTACTCTTCAATATCCAATTACAAGATATTTTGTATAAAATTTCATATATTAATAAAATTTATTAAATATAGTTTATAATTTTATTTGTAAAATAAAAATATAGACGTTTAAAAATATCATTTATTTAATGCTTTATTTATTAAAGAATATTACAGAGATAATATAATGGTAAGAGTAATATTGAAAAGTATCATTAATAAATAAAACCTTATTTTTATTAAAATATTTTATATTTTTGAATATCAAATTTTCCTAAAAATATTTTATAATTCATTAAGTTTGGATTGATGGAGTACTATTTTCATCTCACTTGCCCCAAACTACTCTTTTGAAATTTTAATAAAAGATAAATTTTGAAAATTTATTTTATTTTTAATGAAAGACACTGTAAAGTTATTGCATTTTTTTAACAATTTTAAGAATATAACTATCGTTTTTTAATAAATGTAAGGTTAATTAAATTTGTCTTCTACTACCTTGTTCTCAAATAGATTACAAATACCACTAAAACTCAATTATAACACTTCACAAACTTAATCCCTTTGATTCAAAATATAAGTATTTTCTCTTAACTAATTTTAGTTCAAAATATAAGCAATATAAAATATGTAAAAGCTTTTTTTTATTTTATCTCTTATATTTATTAACTTAGATATTTATATAAATTTATCTTTCACTCATCATAGAGCGCATTAGTAATTGAAATTATGGATAAAAAGAAAAAATACTATATATTTTATGGGAATTGAGACCTTATTGGCATGCAAACTTTTCCTAAAAACTACTTATATTTTGGATCAAAGTAACTACATTTTCAAAGTAAAAATATAAACTTTTAAAAATACTTTTCATTTAATATAATGTTTAATCATTAAACTACAATTATTTCAATTCTCACTTTATTTGAAAAGTGATATTGAAAAAACATTGTTACTAAAACATTATTTTTAACAAATTATTTTATATTTTAGAATAATAAAATACCTCCAAAAGTCTCTTATAATTTGGGTCGAAGAGAGTAATAAATACCCAATGGATATTTAATAGATAATAGTACTCCCTCTATCATCTCTAATTACGAGATATTGTTTAAGAACATTCAATATTTTAAAATATAAGACAATTTAAAAAGATTAAGTGTAGATTTGAGATTATTAAATATTTTTAAAATTTTGTATTTTTATTTTAAAAAATAAAATTATTAAATATATTTACTAAAATTCATATTTAAAAATATTTTATAATTTAGACAGAGGAAGTATTATATCGTCTTCACATTTTGGTTGGTTGCATGAGACATCCTAGATTCTCGGCAGTTACACGAAAACGAACACCCCCCCGGGGGGGTTGGCGCACTCAATTCATGAAATTGGGGCACATGCTTATCCCCAAGCCTTAATTTGATCATATTAATATTTCTTTTAAATCATTTCCATTTCCACTCTACTCGATCTTTGTTGATCGTTTATAATATTGAAAGCTTAATTTGAGTGATATACCAACTAAAAGAGAAACGGAGCAAAGTGTGCTAGTTAGCAAAGTTTACAGACATACTCTAAGCTTGGGTCACACTGCTTCCACAAGTCAAGAAAAAAAATTATGCAGACTGATCTCAAAATATATATTTTAGTTTGCTCTACTTAAAAATTTTCAAATGTTCCCATCGTCTTAAAAAGGGGGGGGGGGCGGGGGAACGTCGCTCGTACTCTTAAAAAATTTTACTCATCCTTGAAAATTTTATGACCTCAAATTTTATTTGTTATAATCGTATGTGATAACACTTTTAAAAGATAGAAAGTGGTTTATACAAGAAGGTTTTTTTTTATGTTATTATAATTTTATTTTTTATCCAACAAAGATGGGCATTTGTTTGGTCGTCATATCATTGAAACTAACATTAGCATTTTGATTATCCACATATGAGATACTAAATGTCAATATCTTTCCCAACAATTTGAACCTTATTTTACCATATTATAAGAAACTAACATCTATCGCCGCACCCAACATTGGTCTCTCATATCATATTTGTACTCAACTTGTCTCAATCGAATACAAGAAATCACAGACATACTAACCAAAAGATTGCTCCAACTTATCCTTGGAAAAAAAAAAAAAAATACATACAGCCGCACATAGCCTTGCCCCAACAGCTCCCCTGTGCAAATGCGTACAATTTGAGCCCACTTTTGATCATGATGACTTCATAATATTAAAAAAAATAAAAATAAAACATGAAACTGTAGCTCTCTATGTTTTAGTTTCCCAATGCTTGTTGTGGAAACCCTCAATGGAACTTGAAACTGGGCTATTGTAGTCTAAAAATTGACAGGATTCCAAGGGACTATTTGAAAAAATTACATTCCACATCTCAAAAAAACTTTTTTATTTTTGAAATGTGAAATGGTGTTTGGAGGGAATTTTTTCTGAAAAAAGCACTTTGATAAAGTACACCTAGAGATGAGCTAAATGTGAATTTCCAACAGCTCCATCCAATTACTTTTCAAATGTGAATGTGGATCGGCTGAACATAATAATTGATACTTAATTTTGTATTTGATCATGATACCCTCCATTGTTTTTTTTTTCTTGTCATGCGTGAGCTCATGTTCTGTCACTCCATCTCTTCTAGCCGAAAGTTCACTCATCTCTCTCATCTCATCTGTCTCTCTGTCATCTCTCCCTCGTCTCCCATCCTTGTCTCCTCCATCATTTGGTCATAGATTAGACTCGAGCCCCTCCATTTCTTCCTTCCTCGAGTTTGGTTTCTTGTTTCGTCATCCTCCTAAGCTTCATTGCCCGCCATTCCAAAGAAGCTCATCGCAGTGGACTATTGTCATCTACCTAAACTTAGGTGGCTATGGTAGATCCTCCGCGATGAAACCATGCGACCAAACTCTAATTGAGACAAAGTGATAGAGATGAGCAATTTTCATGCAAGATGATCTCCCTTCATTTGCATTTTCTTCTTTTCTTTTTCTTTTTCCTTCATTTTTCAATTTTCGTTCCCTCCCTCTAAAAAGTCAAAAATCTAATTTAAAATAAAAATGATTAAATTACTAAATTGGCCCTCCAATTTTTTGAAAACACAAAATAACTAAAGCTAAATCAATCTAATGCAACTGAACCAATTAAAGTCTTAAAAATGAGAATAAAAATTGCCTAAGTAATAAAATGTGTCAAGAAATTAAAATTCCAAATTAAAAACATTTAATTCCAATAAAATGTGCTAAATTACAAATTATCATAAATCAATGTCCTTTTTGGTTATTGCATATTCAAAAGTATATTTTAAAAGCATAATTTTTTGTTAATCCAAACAATTTTCAATTTGCCAAACTGATTTTTAAAAAAATATATTCAAATCTAAATTTTATTACAATAATTAACTTTCATTAAACTGATTTTTATTAAATAAATTTTCATCAAACTGACTTTTGACAAACTAAAAACTAAACATATATTAAATGTTTGAGCATGTTGTGTGATTTTGATTCATATGCTTTTGTTTTCGTATGCCTCCCTTCCTTCTTATGAGCATCCTGTCAATATAATGCAACTCATCATTATCATAAATCACCCAAAACTTTCCTTCACAACCTCATCATGATGAACTCATGTAAGGTAACTCTCACTTGGACCAAGACATAACTTTACTTGTTCAAATAACAATTAAGGTGAAGCAAAGTCAGGAACATGAATCCCTTTATGATAAACAGATTCATTTTGCAAGTTCGTTATTACAGGTAGTTCCTATAAAGCATCGGATTAATAACGTATACAATACTTGAATTCTCGATGTAGATGCTACTCTGTTTTGTTAGGGGAAAAAATGTAACATTTTGGATTGGTGAATTCAGTTTTCAAAATCTTACATTCAAAACTCTGTTTTATTTTTGGCAACAAGTAAAAGATATCCCATCCAAACCAGCGACAACAGCCAGAAACGACAAACAGAGTAACAGCAACTAAACCAACAACAACAAAATTAAACCAGCAACAGCAAATAGAAGGGGGAGAAAAAGAAAAAACAGAACAAAGGAATGAAAGAACAAGGACAGTGATTTCTAGCCTTTGAGAAATCATCAGCTAGGATTTTCAATATGGGAGA